GAATTTTTAATATGTTTGATATCTGCAACGCATCTAATATGCTTGGAATGAAAGACCTATGTGGTACCCTAGAATGATGTTTACACTTAAAAATATTTTATGTTAGATGAAATAACATATTCCTTACCTTAAGTCAATTTAGTAAGAACTCATTTATTGGATAAACGATGAATTAATGTTTCATGTAGACTGTCTTAATTCATACTGTCGTTTCATGTAGACTGTCTTAATTCATAAAAGTCATATTGCACAGCATTACTTAATTTTTTTGTTTCCCGCTAAGTTATCTTTGTCAAAATGTTCAGTGTGACAATCGTTGTTGCATATCTCATGAAGAAGTATCAAATGAGCCTCGAAAGTGCCTTGTCGCTAGTTAGAAGTAAACGACCTCAAGTGGCTCCTAATGAGGGGTTTATTTCCCAGCTGGAGAACTTTCAGAAATCCTTGCAAGGTAAAACACAAATAGTTGTCTTTCTCCTCTATGTTAAAATGGTTTTGGAGCAAGGTGACATGTGTATCTTGCTTAATGAACTTTTTTCCTTTAATAATTCTATATAAGTACTTGCAACACATTTGGTACTTGGTTGTCATTGTCCACTAGTTTTTTTGCTGGAAACTGTAACCTGCATTTCCAACTTGACTATACTATGGACTGCAACCTAAACATTTGTCTACTAGCCTGTTATGAAAGAATCCCTGGAAAGATGAAAATTTTGTGAGAATACACTTGAGATTTGAACCACATCACAACTATTGAGTCGTTTTATCTAGTTTAACAGCTATACGAGAAAGGTTCTGAAGATGCATAGTAGATTCCACATATAATTTGATACCAGTGCTATCATGCACCTATCATTCTGTTTAGTTTGATCTGTATGCAGATTATTTCTTCTCTTGATTTTATGTCTGGTTTCTGTTTCATTGTTATTTTGCATTTCTCTGTGGATTGGCTAGACAGCATTAGCTGTCAACTATTACAAAAACCTAGTGGTGCAAATATTTTTTTCAGCATTAGTTTGTTTCTCTCCAAGTTGCATAGAAAATATTGGGCTAGTAGAGAAAACAACTGACTATGTAAATGAACAGAAAATAAAAAGGCACATAGAGTCTGTTGTAAAAGTTCTGTCAGTGTTTCATAACACGTGCATGACTAGCTTATAGTTTATCAGAAATCCAACCTCATTAGTTGACATAATCTCACCTGTGGAACTTATGTTTCTGTGCAGTAGAGCAGGAACGGAGAATGCAATCTGTGCAGAACTAATTATGTTATAATAGGTGTAGAGACCTTATGTTGTGAATTCGTATGCGTTGTCAAGTGCATCCTGACTGCACATTATTTCAGCTGGATAGCAAGCAAGGCCTTGGCAACTGGTGGTGGTGGGACTCCACTGCTTTATGTTGTAAACAGCAAGTGACGTTGTTCATCCATTGGGATGCAGTTTATATGTTCAAGAATCTTCACTGTAATTTCTCTTCTAATGGATCAAAGAGGGGTAGTATATCATATATAGAGCTGCAATTAGCACTGCATGAACTACAACATCAAGACACTCAAAGAAAAGCATGCTCATGTCACCAAGCTAAACAGACACTGGGATGATGGTGCTTGATCCGGTGACTCATAGATTTGTGCTATGTAATCATGCTTGATTTTCCATGCCACTCGTTTTGTAAACCCGGGTTCCAAATATTGTGAAACATCCTACAATCTCAAAGTTTTCTTTTTTTTACAATGATGTCACCTATCATAATCATAAACACACCACACGCGTGCCACATATGCATGTCCATTAGTAGATACATAAGATGCACATATATGACCCAAGGAACATGCACGTGTATGGCTAGGATTAATTCTAAAGTGTATACTGTTGAATTGTTTGTATTGTCATCTCCATGCTAATGTTTGGAACACCTAATATACACCATGTTAAATTTTTGGTTTCATCAGCTTATTCAACTACCAACAATGTTGTTTTTTTAAAAAAAAAAAAGACCAACCAAATTTCAAACCAAGACTGAAAGACTAACCAAATGTCACGATAGTCTCTATGTTGCTTTTCATGAGACGTGCTAGAATAGAAAAGATAAACCCTAAAAACTCTCAAACGGAAAACTTGTCACCAATTTAACGGACCTATTGATCATTGTCACTAATAGCCATTGCAAACAATTTATCCACTTCTATCATTATGAAAGTCAATGTCAACTAACCTCTACCATGCATTCGATCCTATAAAACGAACTAAACCCTAGAAATCCAAAACCACGAATACACCACGAAAGGAGGGGATTTATTGGACATTTGTCTTGCACACACCCAGGGGACCACTCCACCGCCGAAATCCGACCTCTCCTCGGCTGATTTTAGGCCTTCACGGGGGTGTAGCGGCAGATGATAGTGTTGGTCTCGGCCACATGCAGCCTGAAAGGAGAGAGGGAGGAGAAAGAAGGAAAGGGTCTGCTCTGACCTAGTATAACTCCTTGCCACGTCACGTGCGATGGCGCAACAAGACAGGAAAAAAATTCAGTGCATACTGGATGCACACAAGGTCCATGCAAACACAGCTTCGATGTACAGCACGTGACCACCAAAAAGCATCCGACGCATGTAGCCCACAAACCACGGACTAGAGCCCGGAGGCCGGAGCCGAACGCATGAGGCAAGCGGATGCAAGCTGTTGGATCGGTCAAACTGGACATGTGGCAACTATGACATGTGTACAAGGAGACGAGCCTGTTCGCTGGTTGGTGCCGGTGCTGGTTTGGATTGACTGGTGCTGATTTTTTTGAGAGAAAAATACTGTTGACTGGCTAGTTTAGGCTGACTGAAACCAACAAGCGGTGAATACAATATGCACCGAATTTTTTTCCAGGCAGGGCGGGCACCACAGGAATGCCACGTTTGCACAGCTGAGCTGGCGCTGCCACCCTGGCGTCCCTTGTTGCCTAGGTGTTTTCTTTTTCGTGCCAGTGCATGTCTTTTTATCGTGCCAGATGCACTGGTTCGCTAAAAGGCTAGATCTGCAAATACCTTTTAAACTAGGTTAATATTATAGTAATATTGATTGAAAAGGGTTGAAGAAATTATCTGGTCGGCCAGGTACACGCATGTACATGATGCAAGTGGCGGCTGGTGAGTGGCGCCAGGTACACCATACTTAGGGTGTGTTTAGCTAGGGTGTTGAAAATTTTTGGGTGATGTGTTGAAAGGGTATCGGGAGAGATTTTTGGATACTAATAAAAAAAACAAATTACAGAACCTATCAGGAAACTGCGAGACGAATCTAATGATACTAATTAATCTGTCATTAGCACATGTGGGTTACTGTAGCACTTAAGGCTTTTGATGGACTAATTAGACTTAAAAGATTCGTCTCGCGATTTTGTCGAGAACTATACAATTAGTTTTTTTTTCGTTTACATTTAGTGTTCCATACATGTGTCCAAACATACTCTTTTACTGTATGGAGACAATTTTTTTTTAAAAAACTAAACAAAGCCTTGTCTTCGAGATTTCAACATTAAATTTCGGTTTGGGAGGCAGCGTGGTCCACGTCCATCCCAGTATAAAATCTTGCCGACTGTTTCATAGAAAAACGGGATGAACATGGGCCCCACCGTTCTTTTTCGGCAGGGAGACACTGCCATGCACGTGAGCATGATGTCTAACGAGTACTCCGATATTTCACAGCCGACCGAAAAGCTTTCACGTGTCTAGTTTCCCTGATGTTAGACTACACGACTACATCGACTTGTTTCTCTCAGGAGTCACGAGTGCCAAGTGCCAAGTCTCAGAGATTGCAAACTGTTGTGCCAAATGCCAAACATCAAAAGCCAGCCAAGATGGCGTGATATAATGGCCCTACTAGTTTCACTGAAATTTAGCTTATGCTGATTTGTTGTGAGAGAAAACACGACTGATTTATTATGAGAAAAAACACTGTTTCTTCGCTAAGTCAGGATATTTTAACCACTAATGCAGCGGGCATAAGAAAAAATGAATGTCACAGGCATGCGACCATGCATGAACCAATGGCTCACGCAGATATCGTAACCAGGAAACTCACAAGTCAAATATGAGGCCTAAACTTGGAAATTGCATCTAGCGAGCACCCTGCCATTTACCGACAAATTAAATGAAAACAACCACAGTTCCTACAGAAGATCCATTGTATTGCTATCATGCCAGACACTAGGTTAAAAGCGCTTTTATCTAAATTTGTGCTGTTACCTCCATACAACAACATGAACTGAAATAACTCCCAAGGAGAAAAGAAGTAAAAAAGAAAAATAAATAAATAAAAAACTTACAATCTAGCTCAGTCATTTTCTCTACTTGGATTTTCCCAATTGTGGGTACGGAACTAGGGCAAACAATGAAGGATTAATACAAGTCCAATTATTCATAAATTAACACAACAGAAAAGCAGGGTCTGAATAAAGGAACGGTTCAGAACCATAGCAGGACCTCACTAGGCATAGAAATTCTGCATGAATTGGCCTTCGCTGCCACCAATGTGTTCAAACTCGGTCCACAATTTTTCACTGGTGCAAGGAACATGGATCTGGTAGTCCCGAGTCAACAATGTTGATATAAGAGCACCGCAACTAGCACCCATACCTTGTTGTCTCGATAGGTGCACATGACCCTCATGAAATAAGTGAGCAGCAATTATCTGAGGAAGCATAAACATCCTTTCAAACGATGTTTGTGTACTTATGGATGCTTGGTTTGATTGACATTACTAAAAATCAAATGTCCATAATAAATTGAAACATTGGTACATATATATTCCATCTTTTTGTGAACTGCCATGACCAAGTCAAAACAAAAGGTGAGCAGTACAAAAAGTGGCAATGCATCTCACAGATATGCTAAAGCAAAACAAGAACAACAAGAGGACAAAAACATAGTACAGTTTTAGGTTACAAGACTAAAAACAACGTAAGAACACAAGCACTAACAAATAAATGAAGTGGAAAGGTTATATTACCTAGTTGACCAAAACCATATCATCTCCAGCAGCCTTGGCAGCAACAACAGCTTCCAATTGTCTCCATGCTGATTCTCGTTGCTCCTGCATCTCTTTGGCTTTTGCTTGTTTCTCCATGTACTGATGCTGGCACTCTTCAAATAGTTCACTGTCCATGTCCAAAAACATTTTGCGCACATTTGCAGTGAGACCATGAACTGCTTGATTCCAGTGGCTCTGTATATTCCTCTCAAGTGCTTCAAATATAATTGGAAATATAACACCACGATTTTGCGCTATCAAGCTTACAATGTGATCGTTGTTCCACAAGAACAAAGCGCGTTCAGCAACCTGACAAGGAAAATCAATAATCAAGCAAAAACATTAGAGATGGAGTAATCATGTATCACAAGAGCAGGAACTACCAACTTAATAAGATAGTAAAATATTTTCCAGAAATCAGATGTAGCAACGTAAAGCATAGTTTGTTAGGCAAGAGTACGTTATGACCAGCATCAGGTATAGGCGAAGGACTACGCGAGCATGTGAGACGCACAACGTCGCTGGACGTGGGTCATGCGCACGTCTGCGGCAACTGACCGACACAAGGCAAACCATCTGGATTAGGAGTTCGATTGTTTAGATTGATATAACGCAAACTCTTGTATCAGGGAACAATTAAGCAGGACAACATCAGTCGTTGCCCCCCCTGCGCATCACGCTCTCTCTCTCTCTCTCTCTCTCTCTCTCTCTCTCTCTCTTTCCCGTTCCGACGGCGCCTGCACGACGTCGCTCGTGGAAGCACCGACCAGCCACCACACACGATTACGCCCCAAGATCCCTAGGCCCATGGCAACTCAACTAGTGAAGGGCCACTGCGAAGTGCGAAGTAATTTGCACAGCAGCATGGTATCAACCATCTACGGAGTAGTTTTTTCAATCTATTTAATGCCAGCAATTGAAAACAGCACCAACCAAATTTCTGTCGCTCAAAATGCCATAAAAAAGACACAAGTATAAATGTGGATTTTTGCACTGCTTTAAACGTTACATTGGTTATGCACTATTGTAGATGTGCCACCCATTTTTGTGGGAGAGGGTGTCTGTGTGGTGGGATGGGTAAGGGGCTTGAGTGTATCATATACTTGTACAAGCTGGTTATTGACAAATGCAGTACTAGATAGGAAAAGTTAAGCAACAGAAGGAATAGATCACATTACCCACTCATCCATGAGTGGGTGCCTGGGTGGTTGTGTATGCCCTAGAAGATTTCACTTCAATTGAAGACACGAACTAGGAATATATTATATAATAACTGTCAAGAGATTCAAGCCAAGATTATTTAACATACTACAGGTACCAAATATGCGATTTAAATGCAGAGTGCAGTACTGCACACACACAGTCAAACAATGTGACAATCCTAAAATAAACTGCTTAATGATAGCGCTTCCTGGAATTTATGAAAATTGAATTAAAAACAAGTCCAACATGAATCTTTAGCTTTATGAATATATACTGAACTAAAAGAAGTCCAACATGAGATGTTATTTATTTGCAGAAATAACCTAGCAGGCCTAGATATATCCACAAAAAAATGGTAATAAGGATAGAAAAAATCTGTACTTGGGCAAATTTCAGGAATGGAATGCAGTGAGTGAAAGAGTCATCCAGCATATGACACCCACAGAGCACTGATGTTCTTGAATGTTAGCAGCAGAGAGAAATGGTTGGATCCAGTACAGGAAAGTTGGAACATACACTTGTAACCATGGTTAATAATATTGGATTTTCACTAGGCACAGTGAGCTCTGGAGTCAATCCGATACAAGAAATGTTGGAAGAGTCATCTACAACAGCACACTTTGTTTCGGTAGGACAGGTTTAGGTTTATATATATACTAAAAAGATTATTGCGCCACATGGGTCAATATTATGAGGCCATATCCCCCAAGGACAAATTAGCTACACATATATATTAACTAAAGAAACAAAATGATGAAATCTGGAGAAAAAATTGCAAGTCTTCTTGCCAAAAAAAAAAAAACAACAAAATCATTATTACCAACAACAAGTGGTCCAGCTATTTTAACTTACTGAACTTATCTACCGCTAGACTTAGGTGCCTAAAAATAGAACAACAGTTTGGTTGCCTTATTTATGATTTTGCAAACCATGTAAATTGAAGAATGGAATGATAAACGGATGGATAAACTCCTTATTTTCTAAAATTTTCAGTTATAGATACATAAATATTCGATAGTAAAAACTATAAATAATGATGCATGTTGCTAGATAAGGGAACCGGTCTTGTCGATACCACTGAAATATTTGGTACCTATGAGTAAGATCCCACAGAACAGATCAACTCAAAACAATGGATATTTATCAACTGCTGTTAAGGGTCAAGACTATCTTAGAAACACTAGCATAGATATCTCTGAACCTGCCCACAACAAACAGTTTTCACTGGGAAACCAGTCATGTCTAATAGCTTGTGTTATCTTATGCATGTTTTAGCCTTTCCCATGACTTTCTCCCAGATCAGCTAACATTTGACAATTGACATAGTTAACACCAAAGGTTGTGCTAGCAATCACTGAGACAAGAACCGATAGATCTGGCTCCTTATAGATAGTGATGGTACATTCTTCCAGAACTTATAGATGGTACATTTGCAGTTCACAGGTTTAGTGCCGTGTGGAAAGCGAGTAATCTCTCCTCTGAGGATATAGTACAATATTTAAATAAGTAATTGCACAGTATCTTTGAAGTATTTCAAAGTTCAAACACATTTTCATGCTCCAGTTGATTGCTGCAAATGGCAGCTTGTACTGCTGAAAAATCTCATATTGAATCCAATATTTCCATATTTCTACTGCTAAAAGCTGCAGATAATACGCAACTAAAGCTATTAGGTAGCTTAGCTATGCAAAAAGGAAATAGAAGCCAATAAAAGCTGGATACACTGACAAACCAATAACATGAGGAAACAAAAAGGGAAAGGAAGATTGTATGCCACCCCTTTCTATTTAAACCCAGCTTAGATTCTTCCATCCCATAGCATCCAAGTACTGTAACATATTTCAACATTGCAAGGCTAAAAACTTATCAAACATATGTGCTCGACTGTTATGAATATCGCTAACATTTCATGACTCCATAAATTCTTGTGATCTAAAGGTGCCTTTGAGTGATGATGGCGATTAATTTACCAAAGAATCAAAATTACAAAAGAGCAACCCTACGGAATTAGAGCAAGTGCCAGCTTCAGATATATCTATGTTGCAATAGCTATTTTGCCAAGAAACATCAAACGATGGCCATTTATCCCGTGAAAGCTATTAAGCTGCTACAACATTGTCTGGAAACAATCAATTATCACCTGGTGTGTTCCACTGTATCAGAAAGAATGTTTTTCGGACCAATAACAGGAGAAGACTGTTATGGTCGGCAAGACGTATGAACGCCGAGCCAAGGAGCAACGTGGCTGAGCCACACCACGTGTTGGGCAGGGACACCACCAGCGGCCAGGGGCCAAGGTTCCAGTCTTGGTCAGCTATCAGTTTGTTTAGATTTGATTTGATTAGAAGTTTCCTTAATTCTAGCGTCAGGTTGTTGGGTCGGATTGTATAAGAATCAAACTATGCAAATTAATGAGATTAGCCTGGGATTGTGTCATCTTGACACCCTTGGGCGCCTGGCACCCTAGCCCTATCTCTCTCTACCCCCTTCGCTTCCTCCAGCGCCGTCACGGCGCCTCGCCGCAGCCAGCGCCAGAGTCAGCCCCTCCACTCTCCTCCCTACGCGTTACGTAGCAAGACCAGGCGCCATACCAACCTGGTATCAGCTCCATCGCTGCCCATGGATTCCGCCGCTTCCACCACTGCTCCATCGTCGTCGATCTCACCAGCATCCACCACCAGCCCCACGTCGGGCGTGTCGCTGCCCCTGGTGAACACGACGCCGCCCGCGCCGCCGCCCACCCTGGCCTCGATCGCTGAGATGTTGGCCAGCATGCAACTTCAGATGACCGCCATGAACAACCACCTGGCGGATCAGGGAGCGCGCCTTTCGGCCATCGACGGCAGGCCGGCGTTCCCTCACTTCGGCTTGCCAGGGTTTGGGGGCGTCCCTCGCCTGCCCGCATCCTCCTCACCGATGATCACGGAGATCGCGGCCGCCACTGAGAACTCCTCTGCTTCGGCACCGGTGGCACCGTCCATGCCGCTGTCCCTTCCGGCGCTGCCGCATCCCCAACATTACCAGCAGGCGCCAACGCCACCGTCCGGGGGGGTGCCGATCACTCAGATCAGGTTTCCGCCCTCCCCGTCGCCAATTCCAGGGTTCGGGGCCCTGGCTCCTATGCCGCTCCCGGCCTCCGCTCACATGGCACCATCACAACTGTACCCCCCGCCGCCATCGGAAGGGGAGTCTGCCGTGGTGCCGAAGTACCACAAGATCACCTTCGACACGTACGATGGCCGCGATGACCCCCTGGGGTGGCTCAACAAATGTGAGCAGTTCTTCCGCGGACAACTCACTCGGGAGGTCGACAAGGTGTGGATGGCCTCCTATCACCTGAAGGGAGTCGCCCAGCAGTGGTACCTTGTACTGGAGACCGACATCGGCCGCCCATCGTGGCCGGATTTCTGTCGATACCGCCTGCAGCGCTTCGGCCCTGCCCTCAACACCAACCACCGGCCGACCGGCCAAAGCCGCCGCCGTCAGCGCCAACGTGGACGCATACATGGAGGCATTCCAGGCCAGGGCAGCGCACGCGGGGGACCTCACCACGCTGCAGCGCGCCAAGCTCTTCACAGGGGGCCTTCCTGACTACATTTGGGTGGATGTTGAGCTGCACCAGCCCCAGAACCTTCAGCACGCCATGTATTTGGCTCGAGACTTCGAACGTCGCAACGCGCCACGTCCGTCCGCCCTTCCAGCTCCCCCAAACAAGCGCGCCGGTAATGGGGCTCTCGTCGACCATGCCGGCGCCATGACGGGAACCACGGTCGACTCCACCAAGGCATTCAAGTGGCTCACACCGAGGAGATGGCGGGCGCCGAAAGCTCGGCCTCTCACATAATTGCGACGAGCCGTTTACTCATGGCACAAATGTGCCCGTTTGTTCTACTTTGAGGCTCCGATTACATCGTGGAGGAACCGAGGACCTCGACGATGCCCTGCGAACCGGGTCAAGAGGCCCAATTCGACCCGGAAAAGCCGATGATCTCTCTTTCCGCGGCGACGGGCATTCGGGCGCGCGACACCATGCAGCTGCGCGTCAAGATTGGCGCCCACGAGCTCACGACACTCTTGGACTCGGGGTCGACACACAACTTCATCAACCCTGAGGCAGCACGCAGCGCCGGCCTTCAGTTCTCCGACAGCGCGGGCGCCCACGTCATCGTCGCGAACGGTGATCGCGTCGTGATCCGGTGGCCTCATGGCGCGCTCGTTCACCGCGGATCGGCACCGAAAGCTTCACGGTGGATCGTTTTCCCATCCTCGGCGCCAGTCGACATGGTCCTCGGCCTCACGTGGTTGAGGTCGTTGGGGCCTATCCTCTGGGACTTCGCCACATCACAAGATGGCGCTCTCCTTCCGCTGATCGCCGGGTGAGTGCGACCGGCGTCGGCCTTGGCCGCCAAGGCGTCCCCCGACCGCCTGCTCACCACATGCACCTCGCCTCGACAAGGGGGCTCGAAGCGCCCCTCCTCGACGACTTTCTTCTGGGCGCCTACCAGACTTGTTCGCCCGAACCCAGGGGCTTCCACCAGCCCGGCGTCGACCACCACATCCATCTCAAAGCCCAACACCAAGCCGCCGGCGGTCCGGCCGCATTTACTACTACCCCCAACTCCAAAAAGACGAGCTCGAGCTGCAATGCGAGGCGATGCTCGCCAAGGATCATCCGGGCAAGACTCACCCTTCTTCGCGCCCGTCTTTGTTGGTGAAGAAGCAGGACGGCTCGTGGCGCTTCTGTGTCGATTACCGGGCCCTCAATGCGGTCACGGTGAAAGACAGGTTTCCAATCCCGGTTGTCGAGGAGCTACTCGATGAACTACACGGCGCCAAGTTCTTTACTAAGCTTGATTTGCGCTCCGGCTATCATCAGGTGCGGGTTGCTGCTGCAGATGTCCACAAGACGGCGTTCCGGACACACCACGGCCATTTTGAGTTTCTGGTGATGCCTTTCGGCTTGTCCAACGCACCGTCGACGTTCCAGGCATTGATGAACTACGTCCTCAAGCCGTTTCTCCGCCGCTGCGTCCTCGTCTTCTTCGACGACATCTTGATCTACAGCTCCTCCTGGACGGAGCATCTCCGACACCTGCGCGCGGTCTTCGACGTCCTCCGCGCGCACCGGCTCCACCTCAAACGGTCGAAGTGCGCGTTCGCCACCTCGGCGGTCCACTACCTCGGCCATGTCATCACGGGGGAGGGGGTGGCTATGGACAAGGCCAAGGTGGCATTGTGCGATCTGGCGCCCTCGCGCCGCTGCCAGCAGCGCGTCGCTGCTTCTCGGTCGGGCCGGGTATTACCGGCGGTTCATCAAGGACTACAGATCATCGCCCGGCGCGGCGACGCAGTTGCTTCGCAAGGACGCTGCGTCCGGTGGGACGGACGCGCGTCGACATCGCTTTCTCCACCCTCAAGGCTGCCCTCACCGCCGCACTAGTCCTGCACCTTCCGGACTTCGCCGTCACATTCGTCGTGGACTGCGACGCCTCCGGATCAGGCTTCGGAGCCGTGCTGCATCAGGATGGCGCGCCCATAGCCTTCTTCAGCCGGCCGTTCGCCGTTCGCCACCTCAAAGTGGCGGCGTATGAGCGCGAGTTGATCGGGCTTGTTCAGGCGGTGCGCCATTGGAGGCCCTACCTTTGGGGGCGGGCGTTAAATCGTGGGGACGGACCACTACGCCCTCAAGTTCATGTTGACCGGCCGCCTATCTACAATTCCGCAACATCACCGGATTAGCAAGTTGTTTGGGTATGATTTCGTGGTGGAGTTTCGTCCGGCCGCTCAACGTCGTCGCCGACGCTTTCTCTCCAGCGGGACGGCGAGGCGCCGCCGCTTGTCCGTCCTTTCCAGGCGCGCGCGCGCTCGTGTTTCACGGCCGTCTCGCGTGCCTACTTTCCGGCTCTTGACGATTTGCGACGGGAGGTGGACACCGACCCCAAGATCGCTGCTGCTTGTCGCGACGCTGCGGGCACCGGAGACCACGGCGATTCCTCGGTCGCGTCCGCGAGGGGCTGCTGCTACACAAGGCGCGTCTTCGTTTAGCTCATCGGCCGATCCTCGACGACGCGTCCTCCAACTACGCCCACACCGGGGGCCACGAGGGCATCCAGAAGCGCTACTCCGCCTCGCGACGGAGTTCTTCGTTGAGCACGACGGCCGCGTGCGTCGTCGGCGACTTCGTCTTGACCTGCGCGGTGTGCCGGCCAATGAACAAGACGGAGACGCTACACCCGGCCGGGTTACTGCAGCCCCTGCCGGTGCCGTCGCGTGTGTGGGCGGACATCTCCCTGGACTTCATAGAAGCCCTGCCCAAGGTCCATGGCAAGAGTGTCCCGCTCACGGTGGTGGCGGTGTTCTCGGCACGCTCATTTTATTCCACTTGGCCACCCGTACATAGCCTCGTCGGTGGCCCGCGCCTTCTTCCAGGACATCGTTCGGCTACACGGCTTTCCGGAGTCCATCGTCAGCGACCGTGATCCGGTGTTCACGGGTCGTGTGTGGCGCGACCTCTTCCAAACGCCGCCGCGTCAAGCTCGCGATGAGTTCTGCGTTCCACCCGCAGCAGATGATGGGCGTCCGTCATCAACAAGACCATTACCATGTATCTTCGGTGTTTGACGGTGATCGCCCATGAGATCGGGCCGGATTGGCTCCCATGGGCGAGTTTTCCTACAACTCATCCTACCACACGGCGCTCCCGACCTCCCGTTCCAGTGGTGTATGCGGTCGGCCGCCCCCTTGACTTCTTGCCGCCTCACGCCCGGGGCGGCGCGCCGCAGCGGGCGGTGGACACCTGCTCGCCAACCGGAGGAGTTCCTTGAGGAGGTGCGTGCTCGCCTTCTCCAAGCTCAAGAGCACGCCCGCGAGTTCTCTCGACGCCAACCACCGCGAGCTTGAGTTCGCCATCGGCGATTGGTGTGCTCTTCGGATGCTCCACCGCCACACGAAGAATCTGGTACTGGCGGTAAGGGCAAGCCGGCGCCCAAATCACGCCGGGCCGTTTGGTGACCGTACGATCGGCGAGGTGGCCTATCGTCTTCACTTCGAGAGCGCGCGCGATCCACGACGCCTTCCATGTCGGCGTCTTGAAGCCATTCGGTACACCGCCCTCCAAAGGTCGCTGCCGCCCGCCTCCTCTACGTCACGGCCGATCACCGCAGCGGCCCGAACGCTGCCCTTCGCTGTCGAATCTCGCCATGGCGTGTGGCACGTCCTCGTCGAATGGGTGGGCATGCCGGTGTCAGAAGCGACTTGGGAGCCGGTCCCTGCGTTTGCTGAAGCTCACCCCTCCTTCCACTCGAGGACGAGCCGTTTCCCGAGGGGGAGGGATGTTATGGTCGGCAAGACGTATGAACGCCGAGCCAAGAGCAACGTGGTTTGACCACACCACGTGTCGGCGGGGACACCACCGGCCACCATGGGCCAAAGGTTCCAGTCTTGGTCACCTATCGCTTTGTTTAGATTTGATTTGATTAGAAGTTTCCTTAATTCTAGTGTCAGGTTGTTGGGTCGGATTGTATAAGAATCAAACTATGCAAATTAATGAGATTAGCCTGGGATTGTGTCATCTTGACACCCTTGGGCGCCTGGCACCCTAGCCCTATCTCTCTCTACCCCCTTCGCTTCCTCCAGCGCCGTCACGGCGCCTCGCCGCCGCCAGCGCCAGAGTCAGCCCCTCCACTCTCCTCCCTACGCGTTACGTAGCAAGACCAGGCGCCATACCAAAGACACCGATGAAAAAGAAACTGCAAAAATGATGAAAACGTTTCTTTATCCTGAGATGCAGTTTCTACCTTCCCAGATCTGGTCGTTCTCACACGGGCTACGGTGCCACTGTGTATGGGCAGGCAGGGGTTCGAGGGCCTGTTCGGTTTCACTGATGCTGCGGCTGCGGCTGCCGCCACCGTAAGACATAACACTGTAGCAAAGTGGGTTTTGTCTGCTGCATGAGAAGGTCTTCTTCTTAGCAAAATGCCCAGGGACTGTCTTACCCCCCGCAGGTCTAAGTTTTTACTTCCCAGATCAGAGGTAGATCCCTAAACAACCTAGCGTCCAAGAAGGGCATGGAACCTATACCTCCAGGAGTAAGCTATAAAGGGAATCAATAAAGGCCATACCAGAAGTACTAGTGCAAAATGATAATTCTCAAAGGCGTCCTACTGACTCAAAACTCATTCCGTACACTTAATGGAACTATTTATGCTAGGCTACAGAAATATCATGCACAAAGCAATGCATCTCGTTTCACTTTTTCCTATTAACACTGCCTTGTATAAGTGTTTTGGGGAGTGATTGGTTGAACACCGATGGCTGCCATGCCAAAATTTGGTTGTTGACCAAGAAAACTGATGTTTGGATTCCTGCCATATTTTGGCCTGCTCCAGCTCACGAGGCTGAAGCACAGTTCATTTTGCTGCCAATGCACAGCCAATTTCCGGCCGCCAAGATTTGGCCGGCCGAGACTTTGGGCAGGGCATGGTCACACAGCAACCAAACACGCCCTTGTTTTCTCAACATGCAAATAGTGATTTGGAACTTGCAATGAGGCATATCCACTCGAAAAGGCATATCTCGGAACACATGGAGCTCATTTGACTAAAAAACAAAACTTAGAAGTGTATGCAGGCATGCTGATGACAATATACTTAACCAGAAGCCAAAAAAATCAATTAAAGACATACCTGGAAGTGGGAACTGTTAAGGCATCGGCCAATCTGCTTAAACAGTGGCACCATGCACCGCTGGAACTCTGCAGGCTGTGTTGCCTCGAGCACTTCTTCAAGCTCCCCCAGAAACAACACCTCCTTCTGGCAATTTGTGACTGGCCAATACTTGAGCAGACCCCTAATCACTGTATCTGCTAATTTGTAGTCCTTCTCAACGAACTGAACAATACAATAGGACAGCTGCTGATGGTAGATCGCAACAGATTTAGGCTTGTGCAGGGGGATGAGAGCACGGGCAAGGAATAGCTTGTGTTCCTCCTTCATTGGCAAGGCAAAGCCATTAATGATGCTTCCAAGGATCTCAAGGAGCTCCCCTATGCCATTGTGGCGCTGTGTCTCAAAGATGAAGCGGTAGAACACATTGTTGATGGCCTTGCGGATGAATGGTCGGTGTACCATGAACTTGCCATAGATGCGGTGGAGAACGGTCTTGAGGTACTCGCGCTCACGCGGATCCTCGGAGTCAAAGAGGTCGAGGAGGCGGAGGACGAAGGCGTGGTCCACATACCGCTTGGCGACCTTGGTGTCGGTGTCGGGCGAAACAACGTATCGGAGAAGGAGGTCATAGACGAGCTGGAGGTGTGGCCAGGAGGGGTCGAGGTATGGCTCCTCCTCCTCGTCGAGCGCGGCGCCGGGGTCGATCGCGGCGGCAGACTCGTGCAGCGCGGGTGGCAGCGGGCGGAAGATGTTGGCAGAGATGGCGGCGACGAGCGCCTCCTGGACGTGGTCCGGGAGGCGCGTTTGCGCGTTGGCGCCCGCGGCCTGAGCTGGAGCCTGCACGTAATCGACGAGCTCGAGAAGCGCCTGGCGTTTGGCCTCCTTCTCCCGCGGGTGCTTGAGCGAGTCCGAGAGGTCGAAGACCGCGGCGACGAGGCGGAGCTTGCGGAGGAGGAGGCCCGGGCGGTCTGCAGCGGCGACGTCGCGGAGGAGCGGGAGCGGCTCGAGGAGTGGCGGTGACGCCGACCCCGCCGCCTGGTTGGTCGCGAGCGCGGACGGCGCGACGTGCGGCGACGTGGGCGAGGACGGCGAAGGCGCTGTGGCCCGGGAGGCGTGGTTGACGGTGACGGGCGCGGCTCCCCCCGCGCCGCCGCCGCCGCCGCTCCCGGAGGACGACGAGGGCGCTGCGGGGCGCGCGGCGGGCTCCGCGCTGTCCCCGCGCGCGCCCTTGCGGTTTCCCCTCTTGATGATCTTGTTGAACATGGTGGCAGCGGCGGTGGATTGGGAGGCCGGCGGCGGTGGATCGGCCGATCGATCAGGCGACGAATTACCTCCTCGCTCGTCCCTCCGGGATTTGGGGATTTGGTGGTGACGGGAAGGGGAACGCTGTGGGGGCCCAGGTGGAAGGGAAAGAACAGTGGGGAGGTGGGGTCAGCCGGTCAGGGGCGGCGAGGGCAGGGGAGGAGGCGGCATGGCTCTCCCTCTCCGCTGGAGATTTGGGAGACGAGTGGAGGTGGGGAAGGGGATCAATGGGGAGGAAGAAGGGGAAGGCTGAGGAGGAGGAATGGGGATTTTCTGATCCTTTTTTTTATTTTTGTATTTATGTTAGGCGTTACTTTTTATTTTGGGAGTTATTTGAACGGTTTTCCATTTCAATGTCCAAGGATTAGGACGAATGAGACAAAGTTATCGCTTTATACTCTCCACTACTGCACCACTTGTTGAAGGGCAACTAATACAGGTGTTTGCATATTATATAGGTATATAAATTAGTTGCTCAGCAAAAGTTCATGCTATCAAAAGTTGAAAAAAAAAAGTGTGTTTCATGCTATCGATACATTGTCCACATATAAAGAGCTAAGACCAAAGTTATCACTTGAGAGTGCTCCACGAGAACATAGCTTGAGTAATGTGCCGTTTGACGCCGATGGCGATAGCGATTAATTTAGCGTTACCCGGCGTCCATGGATTATTACGTATTAACGTTAAAAGTTAAAACAGGAGGTGGACTGGAGTATATCACGGGACCGAGATTGACAGATCATGATTTTTCTTGACGGGCCTAATCGGAAAGGCGCAGGACGATGGAGACGGCGAACTTTTGGATAAGTCACGCTGGACGGTAGAGTCGCGGAGACGTTGACAGGCGGCACCGGCTATGATTGGACTAACCGTACCCTGCTCCCCCTCAGGAGTCAGGAAACAGAAAAAAACAGATACAGAGTATTTGCTGAACTCAAGCAACGTAAATGCCAAGATTTAACAAAAAAACCGAAGTCAATTCTCAAACTCTGTAATTTGTAGCTCAGGCCAACAATGGCAAACCATCATATGAAAACAAAATAAAATTGGCTTGCTATACAGAAAGTCAGAAACATCGCTCTACTTATGCTAATGGAAGACCCCACCCAACGTGATCTGACTCGGTGCTTTTCTGGAGGGCATTTTCAAGACCGCTGACAAAAACTAACAGCAAGATTAACATGGTTGCCAGCTATTTCTAGCACAAGGTACTTCTGCCACAGTTCTGTTAAGCCCTTGCATCTCAGCAGCACTGCAAATATATCCTTGCAAACCCAGATATCCAGACCAACAACAATGACAAGCACCGTCACTGAACATATCTATGCTCACCAGCTGTTCAGACCAACGGTGACAGGCTATCACTGAAAACATAGTCCATGCATACCAGATATTCAGATCAACAATGACAAACGATCACTGAGAACCTCCTATTCCACTACAACTGCAGGTCGCAAGACATGCACAACTGAAACATCCAACAGGCAGCGTAAGTAGCCCAGAGCATGATTCATCTCATGCAAACAGTCAGCTGGATAAACTTATCAAGAAGGCAACACCTATGCCCAAGTACTGGTTGAAATACAGAGCAGACATTAAAGTGCTAAAGAGGGATAAATTAAGCATCTTCCATAGCCCATTAAGCATTCAGCTATGTAAAACTGAAAACATTAAACTACAAGACAAGGAGCTTGAGTCTACAGGCAGTTCATCAGTAGCGATCATCAAAACGTCCTCCTCCCCTGCCAGGGCGATCATATGGCCCAGGCCTATCCCTGTAACTTCCTCCATCATAGCGTGCAGGTCCTCCACCGCCATAACGATCAGCGACACCACCACGTGGACCATCCCTGTCATAGCCACCACCCCCGCCACCTCTAGGGCCATCCCTGTCATAGCCACCACCACCCCTTGGGCCACTCCTATCATAGCCGCCGCCGCCGCCACCACCACGAACTCCATCTCTCTCGTAGCTTCTTTCTCGCTCCCTACCATAACTACTTGGCGCGTAACGATCTGGGCCACCTCCATACCTGTCTCCACCAAAGTGATCGCCACCAGGTGGGTAGCGATCATTGACATAACGGTCTCGGCCCCCAGCATACCTGTCCCTTGCATCAACTTGATCACGGTACCCATAACGACCACCATCATAACGATCATCCATGTAACGATCACCAAACCTGTCTGATCCAGAAAAGCGGTCTCCCCTGCCACCACCACTGCCACCACTGAACTTGGACAAGAATCTGCCAGAACGGACACCAGCAGTGCTAGGGCAGTCACGGACCCAATGACCAGGACGACCACACTCAAAGCAATTGCCAGGGGGTGGACCATCACCTCTACCACCACGATACTCTCCTCGTCCACCACCACTGTCATACCTTGTGTCATCTGTATTCATCTTAGGCTCAGCCTTGTTCACTGAGATGGTCCGACCATCTAACTCTTCGCCATGCATCTCTTTGATAGCGCTGTCAACTGCCCTCCGATCTTCAAATGTCACGAAGCCAAAGCCCCTGTGGCGGTTAGTGTGTCTCTCCAGCATGATCTACAAGAAGAAACACTAATGAGCATAAATAATATGAAGAAAATAAACAGTTACCAAGCTAAGTGATAAGAATATAAATGTCAATAACAAATGGCCTAGAAACAATTGTTAGAATATTACACAACCTCAAACAAACAAGTATTTGCACCATCCAAGTACTTGAACTTTGAGATAAACCAAGGGTCGAGAAATTATTTAATTTCAGCAAAACAATCGCCATTCATTACAAAAAAAAGGTTGTGCAATCATTATTTGATACTATTATATTTGTATCTTTACATTATTTGATACAAAGCATAGTAATACTCAAAAAAGTTGCCACTTGTAACACTGGTATCTTAAGGCACAGTGGTACATGAGAGAACAGAGAACCATTGAAACACACCATATCAATTAATGGTACCCACTACGTGAAACAGATTACACTAAGCAGAATCACTTCTGCTTACAAATTTAGAGATAATTGACAGACAACAAAAGGACATTACCTCATAAGAGAAGCACTGAGGTTAGGTTATTCCTGGATCTCGGTAATTCAAGAACAATCATAATCCTGACACAGATGCATCTAGCTGTAACTACCTTCATGAAATAGTCTATTCCCAAGACAGCAAAGCTCATTAACACGGACAAGGAGCAAAGCTATAGAACCTCTGGGAACCATGTTTTGGAGAACTGGACTATTTCCAACCAGGAACCAAATTTACTGTTACTGACATGAACTAACTTCTCAAAAGTTTCAGCATATTCTGGTGCCAGGACAATGTAGCAGATATGCCCACTGCCATATTATCTAGTTTGCATACCAGATCATCTAAACCAATGCACAAACCTAAAGGCAAACGACTAGCATTTCCATGGTAACAACAGTGGAAGTCTGAGCTGCTGGTTAGCTGATCTCCTAGGTGAACCCAGTTTGTCTTCCCAAAACTGCAATGCAACGGATGGAGGTGGCTGAAAGCAATATCACACAATGGATCAAAGGGTCCACACTGGTGAGGCTAGCATCAACTTTCTGCTCCAGCATTTGTCCTTCTAGTGTCCATAAATGATCACTGAATACTGTATAATGTACCAATATGCAAATCTTAACCCTAAACAAAATTCAGCTTCCACCACCAGAAGGCAGAAGCATTTACTGTCCTCAAGGCTCAAGCACCAATGGTACTAATAAAACAATGTATTGCACAAGAAACGGCTTCAAAAAGGAGTCCTTGAGAAAAGGAGTTGCTTGAGTTTTGAATAGAAAGAAGTGCAAAAACCAAATTTTGCTGGAGCTGTTAGGAAATAAGCAGTAAAGAGGATCGGCCATATATCATTGCAAGCTCTATCTAGTTCTAACAAAACACAGGACGTGAAAAAAGATCAACTTGTCGCCAGTTCGCTAAATGCTGACAAAGGTAGGATGAGGAGCTATGCAGGCAAGTCATATCAATAAAAACAAAACAAGTCAACTGCAGTCATGATTCTATCTGCAGCAAGGATGCCAATGAACCCGACTGAAAACATGGCCAGGGCATTGAACACAACCAAACACTTATAGCAAATTGATGTTTCTGTTGCATCTTATGAGCCAATCAAATCAGTTCAACAAACTACAGCAGTAACGTGCGCAGATCTGGCAATGAACCACCCAACTTCATCTATCAATCTGTGTCATGAGCATAGTCCCTGTTGTTGTTCTCTACAGGTGTGCACAACTCTTGTGCTGGCCGAGCAGAATTTCCACAGATCAGAAACTAAGGAGGCATGACAGGTGTTGCTCATCCAATTCTACCAAAAAAAATCGATAGTAACATCCTCTCTCTTTCATCAGACCACAAAACTGAACTAAGAAATAGCAGAACACCAGCAACAGTAGGACCAATGGCTGTTCTCCATTAATTCAATCCAATTTCACAGGCATCTAACTGTAATGAACCTCATCAGCAATTCAGCTCAGGAAAGCAACAAGTATCGCTTTGCATTCCAGCTCTGGAAATCTGCCGCTCATTCAGCCTCAGCAAACAAAGAATGGCCGAGAGAACAGAGCCCAGTTGCAAAGAAAGATGCAAAAACAAAAGCAGTGAGTATTCATGAATTTCTGAGAGCAAGCTATCAACATAGAAAAAATAGCCATGAATCATAATAGACAAATGACACTAGACTATTTAGTTCTTTACTCTCTGAGAAGCTAGGATGCATGTTTATACAGGATATTAATTTCTTTTAGCCCATCATCGTGACAAGAAGCCCTGTTTCATCATTTTTAATTTCGCTCTTAGTGCAGCCAAATAATTCGACTTTGCTACTTCAAACTAAAGAAGAAAATTATTCTCTCGCCAAGTTACGCCTCTTTCTGAAGAACGAAAGGCATAAAAGTGAGCAGAAATCGCAATCCTCCTTCCTACGCAAAACACACATCCCTGTTCGACGGAACGCAAAAGCAATCTGCAGATCCGCCTTTCCACCTCACCCACCGCCCTTCCAAGCATCGTACCCAACAATATCGTACCGCGGACAACACGGAACTGATAGATCTCGCAAAACTACCCGGGGCGGGCAAGAGCGCTAACGGAGACGGACGGGGAGGCACGGGTACCTGGGCGTCGACGACCTTGCCGAAGCGGCCAAAGGCGTCCTGAAGCTTGCGCTCGTCCGTTTGCCACGACAGGCCGCCCACGAAGATCCGACCTTCCTCCTTCCCTCCATCGCCGCCGGCCGCCGCTCGACCAGAGAAAGGCAGGAGCGAAGATTAGGGTTTGGGGACAAGAGCAGAAGGCTGCGAGAGGAAATAGGGGTCGCCCCGCCGCTCGCCGGACCGGACACCGCCAGTAGGGCTTGGTTCGATTTGTTTCTTTTCTTTCTCCTCTTCTTTTATTCTTTATTATTTCTAGAGTATATTTATATATTTATTAAAAACAAAAGGGGAGGGTGGGTGGGCCGTGAACTTGGAGAAGAGAGGGCGGGCCACAGTTTTTGTGTAACCTATTGGGCAGTTGGGTTGGGCTTTGGGAGAGGGGTGTCTGCGGTGTTTATTTTTTGGGTCAGGTAAGGCGCATAGTTTTTCTCTTTTCTTTTCTTTTCTTTTCTTTTCTTTTCTTTTCTTGAGTAGCAATAGCCTTTGTGCTTTGAGACTAGGCATATGTTGGTATTTGGTGACTGACAACTCGTCACAGGATTACTCAGGGCGATGATTGAAGGGCTTCGGTGTATGCAGAACTCGATGGTGAACGCAGAGACAACAATTTATATTGGTTCGGTCCGTCGGAATAGCGTCCCTACGTCCAGTCTGGGTGGAAAATATATTGCGCCCTGCGCTTGGAGTTTAGACTGTGAGATCTGTTCCTCTTGCCAATTTAGGGAGCCCTGCCCTCATTTATATAGCCCAGGAGGTAGGTCTTCTAATCGGTTACAATGTAAGAGTCATAGTAGGATTATAGGATAGCAATGTTACTAGAATTACACGTAGAGAATTCCTAGTCAGACTAGATGTGGGGGTATAACCCCCGATACCCACAGGGCTGTATATGGGCCGAGCCACCAGGGGAGGCCTAGCCCACCAGATCAAGCCGCGCGAGGCACGACACAGGTAGAATTGGATATGCTAGATACCGTATTCCTTGTAAACATGTATCATGTAACCGAATAGAATAGATGCAACCGATCTGTAACCCTACCCCCGTGCTATATAAGGCAGGTAGGGACCCCCTCGCTTTTATCTAATCTCTCATAATATAATCCACAAAAAACACAGGACTTAGGGTATTACGTCAAGCTGACGGCCTAAACCTACCTAATCGCTGTCTCTTGCGTTCTGTGTCACCATCCAGTTCCCTCACGCGCACCACCACCAATTCAACTACTACCGTGGGCATACCCATCGGTAGACTGCCGGACGTATTTTCATCGCTAGTGGCGCGCCAGGTAGGTGGTGTGCGTGCTGAATCCATGGCGAGCCAGATGGGCCACTTTCCGAGCTCCATGGCCCTTCACGAGCCGGGCTAGATCTTCACGGTCGGATCCATGACCTAGATCATCGGCCCCGACGGCAACGGGGAGATCGTGGAGGCGGTGCAGGATCACCCTGCGCCGATCGCGCCAACGTCTGCAACGACATCTCCGATCCCGGTGCCCCACCGCTGGGTTAGGAGATCCATCGACAATGATGATCTGATCGCATCTATCGATCGGGTCACCAATGGCTTAGCTGAATGCTTGTCTCTCATGGAGTTAATCTTAGATCGGTCTACCGCGAGCGATGAATTTCCTGCACTCCAAGATCACCAAGCTGCTGCAATCGAGCGACCTGCTCGGCCACATTGTTCGAGGCAACCAGATTTAGATCTAGTGATCACGGCCACTCTAGAGGGGGGCGCATGGTGCGGCGCCGACCACTTCCTGCTACTGGCCTACGCTTGGCCGATTACAAGGCCCCAATGGAGAACCCACCGAAGCCCTATCCCTTCGGGTTGGAGGGTGCGGGATCCACGTACCAGAACGCCATCCACCACCTCTTCGCCGACCACATCGAGCGCGACTGCATCACTGACCTCTACATGATTGGTCTGACTAAGTTCGATCAACCCACGCCTATGGTCAACATGGTGAATATTCGTCAGCTTCCGGACGACTCTCTCCACAACGTCCTGGAGGAGAGCCCCGGTGATTATTCTGAGGGATCAACCAAGACTGCATCAAGCTGTCCTACTTTCCCTCTAGGGTTTGGGGGCATGATTTCCACGTCAGCCATGACAGCGCTACCAAGGATGGCAAAACTGCCGACGAGCGCAATGCTTGCCTAGCGAAGAACGTCGATCGCCAACGTTGCCGAGATGCAAAAGCGGCCCACGGAGCCGACGAGGATGGACACGGCCCACCGCGCTATCGCCGTAATCTGGAGGAGGTGTTCAACATGGTGGGCGACCAGCCGGTCCACTAGACCCCAAGCGCCAATCTCACCGTTGCTTTCAACGAGCTTGAGAAACTTCCTCAAACTCTAGAGGTCAAGAAGGTCCGAGCGCATATCATAGTAGCTCAAGTCCAGGTCAACGAGTTCTGGAACCTTGGACCATCTTAGTCGACTGCGTCGGCTCGTAGCCGCCGCTTCTACCATGATGGAGGAAGCCAACATCAAGGTGCCGAGCTCCCTTGACACCAAGGCGGTGGCCCCTATCTCTATAGAGGATCCAGGGGCAACTACGAAGGACATTCATGACAAAACAGGCGCCCTCCATGCCCCTAGGGAGGCCGGGGTAGCAACCGCGATGCCAATACGGAGGTAAATCAACCCCGTACGATGCCCGCGAGTGCATCAACGCTAATCTCAACGTACGAGGTCGCATCGAGAATAGCAGGTCCACGTGATATGAGGTAGAGATGGAACACCAGCGACAGTTTGATAAAGAGCACGGAGCACCTGCTACACCCCGAGCACCACCCGTCGCCCCCGCCACTGGCTCTAGACTCTGACCCTTCGTAGCAAGGCTCCGAGCCGTCCAATGGCCTACGAGCTTCAAGATCGTTGGGGTCAACACCTACAACAGCAAGGCGAACCCCACCCAGTGGGTAACTCTTTATGAGATCGACGTGAGAGCTGCGGACAGAAGTGAAGACATCATGGCAAACTAACTGCCTATCATGCTCAACCAGTCTATGAACAACTGGCTTCTTAGTCTACGGGGGAACTCCATCCGATCTTGGGATGACCTCAAAAAGGTCTTCACCGAGAACTACATGGCTACATGCGAGCAGCCCGACACCAAGTATGACCTTGAGAAGCTTTACCAAACCTCCAGGGAGTCCCTGCGTAAGTTCATCAGCGCTTCTCAGAGACAAGGAACTACGTCCCCAACATCAGCGACGCTGAGGCCATTGCCGCATTCACCAAAGGGCTATAGCACAAACAGCTCCACGGAAAGCTATATCGCAAGAGGCCCATGACCATCGGTGAACTGATACAAATAGCAAACGGCTACGCCGAAGCCAAGGAAGCTAAACGGGCTGCTCGTCCTGATCGCCACCAATGCCGCGACGACGATTGTGGCGAGGATAGGCGCTACGATGATCGTGATCATCATCGCGATGATCGCGACTGCCGCCATGATGATCGTGAACGACGCCAAGACGACCACGAGCACTGGCGCAATGATCGCCCGGAGGGTTTGAGAGGCAGACAAGGCCGCCACCGCCGCCCTAACAACTCCATCAATGCCGTCAATGCCCACGCTAAGCGCACCTACGATGCTGACTACGCCAAGCTCATGGACGGTCCATGTCCTATCCACAAGGATGCCAAGCACACTATGGGAGAGTGCAGAGGCCTAAACAAAGCGTTCCACGGTGAACCATCGAAAAGGCCACCACGCAACGACGATGAGACCAAAGACAGCCAAGGTGGAGATCGAGACAAGAGCAAGGGCCCTACCTACCAGGACGCCACCAAGACCATCGCCACTATCTTCGATGGGAGAGCCATCTCCGAGGACAAGCGCGAGCAGAAGCTTGTAGCCCGATGCATCTTGTCGATCGCTACGTACGACGGCCCCATTGCTGATCCTAAGTACCTCGACTGGTTGGAGCACCCAATCACCTTCTCCAAGGCCGACCAGTGGTCCGACATCCCATATGTAGGGCATTTCCCGCTCATCTTGGATCCCATCATTAAGGACGTACGCTTCTAGAAGGTCCTCATCGACGGTGGGAGTGCCCTCAACATCTTGTTCGCCGGATCCCTGGAGGAGCTAGGGCTCAAGAAGGAAGATTTCACCCCCATGGACTCTCCATTCTAGGGGATCATTCCCCAAAAAGCATCCCTACCTCTAGGACAGATTACACTACCGATACAGTTTGGCGCCACCAAGCACTTCTAGCGTTGACTACATCAACTTCCTGGTTACCGATTTTAACATGACGTACCATGCCATCCTTGGCTGACCAGCTCTTGCCAAGTTCATTGATGTGCCGCACTACATGTACCTGGTGCTAAAGATGCCGATGGAGTAGGGGGTCCTCTCCCTACGCGCCAACCTCGACATCGCCTACTCCTGCGAGAAGGAAAGCTTCGTGCTCGTCGAGGCTACCGACATCTCCATCCGCATGCAGGACTGCCTCATGACTTCGTAGCAGATTTCCCTAGAGGACCTGGAGATCTCAACCATGAAGGCCGCCCGAGCATCAACTAGGTCCAAGGAGGTGAAGGAAGTGGTCCTTGTCCCTGGTGACCAGTCTAAGACTGCTCGGATTAGGGCCGACCTCGATCCCAAATAGGAAGACGTGCTCGTCAGCTTCCTAAGGGAGCATGTCGACATGTTCACGTGGAAACCTATGGACATGCCCGGTGTGCCTCGAGAGCTGATCGAGCACTCCTTGAATGTTTCGGTGACTGCCAAGCCGATCAAGCAGAAGCTTCAACGATTAGCGCAGGACAAAAAGGAGGCTATTAGGGTAGAAATAACCCGGCTCTTAGCTGCTGGCTTTGTCAAAGAGGTGTATCATCTGGAGTGGTTAGCCAACCCGGTTCTTGTAAGAAAAAAGAATAAAGAATGGAGAATGTGCGTTGATTACACCGATCTCAACAAACACTACCCTAAAGACCCCTTCGACCTACCTCGCATTGACGGGGTCGTAGATTCCATGGCTGGTTGTGAGCTCCTATGCTTTTTAGATTGCTACTCTGGTTATCACCAGATGGTGCTGAAGGAAGAAGTCCA